TTTGACCAGCCTGATTCAACTCTAATTAATACAATTCCTGTAGAATAAAGGACTTGTTTAGGACTGGTTATATATTAGGTTTAAATATTTATGAGCGATTGAGAAACAAAGTCATCAATGTCTGAAATTGTTAACAAGCCACTTCTAGAGTTGGGCATACACTGTACGATTTTTTGCCCTTTTTGGGCTTATTCTCCAGTCGTGCAAGAATTTTTTGATTGGGGCGAAGGCCAATCAGCCTCTCACTACCTCCTCTTGGTCCGGAATCGTAATTTGAGAGAAAATCAAACATGTTTGCAATCCAGTCGGCCATCAAAAGATTGCATCAGAGCGTCGGCTGCACAGTGTGAAAACATGCATGGTGAGCTGTGAACTTTTAAACCCTGTGGTTTTGTCGTACATTTTGAGCTGCAGCTGTGTGCCACGAATGAAGATATTGCACAGTGTATACCCAGCTTAAGGTTGTGGGACTCTACTGAACCACACTGGGAACCATTATCCCTAAATGGGGAAAACATAAAAAAAAAAAAAGGTGGTGAAAATTTACCGGAGTTCACCAAAGGACCCAGAAAAAAACCTAGAGCAGAGTTTCTTAACCCTGCTCTTCAGAGCCCTCCATCCTGCATTAGACACAAGCAGGTGCTTAACCTTAAATGGAGGTCACTGGATCATTTGAATCAGATGTGGTGGAGCAGACACACCCAATACATTAGGACTTCTGACTACGGATGTACGATATTGTCAGCATGTTAAAAATTGAACATCAACCATTCCAACGATATAACAGGCAATGTTCAAATCTTGGAAACCAAGTCCAGTGGATTTTTTTTTTTTTACTTTTACGGAATGACTATGACCTGGATGACTGAGAATCTTCATCAGCAACAGGCAATGTTATATCAAGTGAGGATTATGCCTGCAGCACCAGCACGTTACGTGCGTCCAACTAAAGCAGGGGTCCGCAACAGATGCTGAAACAAAAATGACGATGGTGTGGATGTTTTGCAAGTTTTAGCAAAAAAGATCACAAACTATTTTGCAATAACTGCACAAGAGAGGAGGGAAAAATAATAAAATATCAGTTATCAACTAGTATCAGCCAAAACTGCAATATCTTGCATCCCTGCTTTTTTAAAGGAGAAGTTCGGTTTTTTACACTTTAAGCCCATTTTCTGTAGTGTCCAGGATGAAATCGAATGATCGACACCAAAAGTTTGACNGTGCCATGGCGATGTCTTGGAGGACATTAGAAGACAGGAGATGAAAGTAGGAGGTGTATGGCTGAGGCAGAAATCTGCCAAAACTGCCCTGATCCGTTATCCTCCAGAATACTAGCAGATGAGCAACAATAGAGTCACAGTGACATTCGAAACTATTGTTAGTTTTTTTTTTTTACTTAGTTCATAGTAAGAATCATCCAACGCCTGAAATGCTGACATCACAGTTAAAGTGAAGATGAACCCAAGAAATTCTAACATTTCACATGGGAGAATTTGGATTTATTGGATGTTCCTAAAGCATTAATACAAACCACATCACAGGACTGTTTTTTATATGTATGTTTATATATGTACATTCCCCCTCAGATCATAAAATTATGGTTTTAACTCTAAAAATGTTTCTATTTATCAATACCAGCTCACCCTAGCCCTGTGTGAAAAAAAAAAAAAATCTTCTCCTGATGTTAAAACATAAATGCACCATAATTAACCAAACTTGGAAAGCAGAGTTAAAATTTGACCAGCCTGATTCAACTCTAATTAATACAATTCCTGTAGAATAAAGGACTTGTTTAGGACTGGTTATATATTAGGTTTAAATATTTATGAGCGATTGAGAAACAAAGTCATCAATGTCTGAAATTGTTAACAAGCCACTTCTAAAGTTGGGCATACACTGTATGATTTTTTGCCCCTTTTTGGGCTTATTCTCCAGTTGTGCGAGAATTTTTTGATTGGGGCGATTTTCAGCCTCATCGTGCGACGTGTAGTATATACAGGGAGTAGCGAAGGCCAATCAGCCTCTCACTCCCTCCTCCTGGTCCGGAATCGTAATTTGAGAGAAAATCAAACATGTTTGCAATCTAGTTGGCCGTCGAAAGATTGCATCAGAGCATCAAACTATTTTGCAATACCTGCCCAAGAGAGGAGGGAAAAAATAATAAAATATCAGTTATCAGCTAGTATCAGCCAAAACTGCAATATCTTGCACCCCTGCTTTTTTAAGGTTCAGTCTGTGAATAGATGATCCAGAAAAATAAACAAGGTGGAGCCATGTTACATCTGGCATAAATCTACAGACATTCTGACAAAGAACATGATCACTACAGTTAAACATGCTGCTGACGGTGTGGTGTCTGGGTTTACTTAGTTGGGTAAACCTGGATTACTTAGAGGAACTGAAGGCAGCTAACCAGAAAATCCTGAAGGATTATATGGAGTCACCAGGTTTATGTGGCTAAATCCAAAGCCCAACTGAACGTTTACATCTGGGCGGCTCAAATAAAAGGTTTCATTTCATTGACTTGTGTTAAATTATGATATATTGTTATGACCTTTAACAGGCTGTTTGTCTTCAAAACCCTCCCATCTGGTTAAGTTCATAAAATCAAAAAGTACAAGACTAACTTAGGTATAAAAATGTATATATGGCAGATATTCCTACAGCAGATATAAAGAAAGAATCATCCAATAAAGTCTGGCATTAATGAGGTTTTAATGATAGCAAACAATTTTACACCTATTCAGGCTCCGTGTTCAAATAGAACTACGGATATCTGGATAAAGATCTTTGATTTTAGAGATTATGCTGACACAGCAGCTCTGAGTACTGACCAACTGTACATACATTCCTTACTTATTTTGAAGTGAGGACAGTTAGAAAAGGCTAGGTAAAGTGTAATTACTCAGAGAACAATAGTCAACAATAATAAGTATAAGAACAACCGGCCCATTTATAACAAACCAAAACGTTTAGTTTAACAAAAGTTGATAGAAGCTGAATCAAAAATTTTAGATGCAGATATTTTCCAACAATAGCTCTTTGGCTGATGTTCCAATATCAATATCTGATCAGGACATCCCTAAAAATATCAAACTATAAGAAAAGTGACTCAACTGATGAAAAAAATATACATATATACGCATCCTCCTAAGGTTTTGAATGTTTGGAATAAATTAGAGCAGCTGAGAAAGAGACCAAACAGCAAAGTCAATCTTACCAGGTCATTGACAAAAACTGTAGAATACAGAAGATGATGGCCAATCCATTTTTCTTCCACTGTAGAAAATAAATATATTAAAACATCCATTTTAGCGAGTTAAATACTAACAGGCCTGTTGAACACTTACCCAAAACGCTGCACAAAGTGTTAAGACAAGGCACAGCTGGGGGAAGGAGAAGACAAATACTTGGTTAGAGAACATTTAAAAGGAAAATCCACGTCCATAGACTCACTCTCCATCGTCTGTCATTGTACTAAAGCCTCCTTTTTGGCCACAATGGCTGCAGATATTTTCACCCGACTTTTATACTGAGTTTTATATAAATAATTTTGTGTGTGTGATAAGATTTACAACTGCATATCCTCTGCCTATACATTTGCAGGGTTTGGTCATTAAAATATGATTTTGATGAAGGCAAAATGGCAAAAATAAAAAGTTTGCATTCACTGCTTTCTGAATTGCACATTCAAATCACTTTGGAACTTGTATCTGTGGATGAAAACAAGTTTGCATTCGTTTAATATACATAAACCTTTTGAAGATCATGAGCTGAAAACTGTGGATCCTTTAATAAACCCTGTCTGTAATTAGAGAAACATATGGCATGTGTGTATACAGTGTAGAATGCATTTACCATCATAACAATGGTAGCTATGAGTCTTGTGGGTTCAAACATCTTCTTCAGCTGTTTCAAGGGTCCCATCAAGAAACAGGTGCTATAGAAATAAAAAAGAAGAAAATGCTGTAGATATGGTGCAAGATACATTTCACGGTATAGATAACAGCTAATCTGTTACGTTTAATGTAATCTCTGCCATAAAATAAAACCAAGGTAAAAGTTGAATAATTTTGCTTTTTAGTCTGAAACATTGGCCGTTCTTTTAGCCAACTTGCACATCCAAAACAATTCGGTTTGGTCGGAAACATCACCAGAGGTTGGAACTAATATGCATTGTGTGCCCTTTATATTTGTAACGCAGTAGGGTGGGTGAAATGACCATATTACATCATGAAGGATTAGAACATGCTGATGAGCTGCCAAAACAGACAGATTGCGGAATCTCTAAGTAAGCTTTATGATTTATCCAATGCAGAAAAACCAAATAGCTTGGAAACCACTGAAAACCATCTTTGAACACAAGTAACAATAATTGTTCTTCCCCTTTACACCAATGTCCTCTGTACAATAGTTAAATAACTATTTACTTAAGCAAAATATACTGGGACAAGTGATAGTCAAATAATCAACAAGGTATTAAAAAAAAATAGAGTTTATGTCATGGTAACCTTTCCTGATTTAAAGATCAACAAATCAAATGAGACGTGTGTTCCCTAAAGACTTTATATTCTGAAAATAATAAATCAGAAAGATTCAATTCTTTTTTATACATAAAAGATGAATAAACAAATAATTCTTAACTGTAATGTGCTTTAATCTGAACTAAGAATGCCAAATTATATGATGATCAATAAACAGAATATCTCTCTTTTGAATTGATCCATTTTCCTCACCCAGCAGTTTCCCCAACAATCTATTGTTTTAAGGATAGCTTTAGCCAAATGCACAGAAAACGAAAACTTTATTACAAAAAAAACTAGAAAGATTTTCAAAGGAGATGCTAAAGGATGATTTACTTTTTAATTAATTTTCCCTGTAGGGGGTCGTTGCTGTCAAAGACTGTTCAGTAAGAACATAAAGGTGGAGCGCAAAATGTAAAACCATTTCTTAATCACACAGAAAGATTACTCTACTCTCTGCTGTTTAAATGAAATAAAAAAAAACATAGTTAATCGATTGTCTTCCAAAGAATAACATCCTTAAATATGAGCATGGAGAGATTTAGGACCCTGTGCCATAAGAAAAAAAAGACAGAATCCAAACACTCATCATAGCAGTATGACTATAATTTAAAGTGGTTTACCGCTGGGTTCAATTTAACCCAACATGCTGCAGTAATTACGGGTTCAACACTTCCTGTCCATCAATGACGCAGTCAGCGCTACGATGGACATTACGGATGTCTTACGTCAGTGAAGTTAAAGAGGAGAAGGCTTTCCCAGCTGGTGAGGCATGCAGCCGTTTTCCCAGTACAGCTGAGTGAGTAGCAGGAATCACTCGGTGTCACATCTGTTAGATGAGAAATTAGAGTAGCGTGCGTTGACGCAGACTCTTCAGACTGATCGGAAGAGAGGGTCTGTTGCTTCGTCTCTCCCTTGTTATTCCAACTGCTTAGTGTGACAGAGTTATTCACCCTGTCCACGCACATGCTGCTAATGCTCGCAAGAAAAGCTGTCGTCTCGGGGGCGACAACTAAGAAGGACTCAGTTGTTCAGCCACAAGTGGGCTTTTCTCTGATGAGAGGAAATCGATTTTTTTTAAACACATTGAAAAATAAAAGAGGCTTTGTTTAATCAAAAAAATTTATAAAAACAAAATCTGAAACAAACGATAAAGATTGGTTAGCCTGTACAGCATTTTAACGGGGGATGTGAAGGAGAATACATTTCTTTGTTAAACCTAAGGATTTCTAATCTGGGAGGGTCTCTACAGTTAGAAAAAAAAAAAAAAACGCAATAATTATTTTTTGACCAAAAATATTAACCTTATAACCTTGGATGTAGAGTTTGATTTCTAATTCCAGTAGAACTGCTCTTAGCCACAGAAAATAATGCTTCTGCTATGCTTTAACATCATATTATGACATAGACAGAGTAAATATGTATTTTAGCCTAAACAAAGAGAACCAGAGTTAGTGAAAATATATTATTTTAAAAAATATATGCAAAAAGGTGAGACAATGAGTGAAAAAAATATAGATTTGTTATTGATCTGTTGGCAGGGGAGAGGCCATGCCAAATCTGGAAGGAAGAGTTGGGACACCGGACCATGCTGAAGACAGCAATGCTAAACCTAGTTAAACTTAGTTTTAGTTTCTTAATGACCCAACTTCCTCTTTAACATTCAAAACTTTTTTATGCCCCCAGATACATGAAGGCATATTGCAATCCCTTCCAATTTTTTTTTCTTTTAGCATGTGCATGTTGCACACAGTAAGAATGCAATAATTATATACTTATTACAACGTTATTATTTAACTCACTGCACCTGTAAATAGATCTAGAGTTACCTAAAGTCTTACCTGGACAAAGCTGCAATATTTCCTAGTGTGTAGAAGACAGCAAAAAGCTTGAGCCCCCCAGGAAGGAACAGCAGTGCGGAGCCCTGGAAAAACAGCAGATTGATTTCTGTGGGCTGTAGAGAACATCCTCATACATTCATTAGAGGTTAAAGGTGAAGGAAATGCAGCAATGGGATGAAAATCAAAGATTTAACATCTCAAACCTTTATCTGAGAATGTTAGAAAGCTTAAGATTTTCTATTGTGCTTTTAAAACATCACAGGAATATAGCTGGTCTCCTCTAGTAACAGACCAACAAAGGTTAGGTTGAAATTTGTTTTTATCTCATTTACAATGATTTAGATACACCTAATTAATAACCGCTTACAATGAGGGCTAGTACAACAGCAATTATGCACAAACCTAGCGTTAAATTTATAAGCACTGTGGAAAAAGTTCGATATTTTTATCAAATAAAAACAAAGAGCTATTTAGACGGCCTTGCTAAAGCAGTCATACCTCTAACTTTTTTTTTATTATTGTCACATTTAGAGACTTTAGACAGATTTTATTTGTAATTTTGTTTACACAAGTGTAAATTTAGATCACAAACCTAAATACACTTTATTAGAATGTTAGCTTTTACAAATGTATGATCCTCAGCCCAGTCAAGCTAGATAGAAATGCCCTTTGAACAGAAAAAAATCATGTCAGGATCTCATTTAGATTCGGGACTGGGCTTTTATTGGTGCCATCAAACACACTGCAATCTAAACCATTCTATAAACTCAGGCTCTATGTTTATGGTGTCCCCCTACTGGAGGATGAAACTTCTCTACAGTCTCAAAACTAACAAGCCTAATTCCAGCGATACCCGTGATTCAGCACAATCCATCTTCCCTTCAACTTGCACAGGCTAAGGAAATTCATCCCCACAGTATGATGCTGCCATCATCACCCAGTGTGTGTGGGCTGTTAGTTTTCTGTCACAGAGTTTTAGGTTAGAAAGTATATTTTGGCCTCAATCGCTTTGAGTCTGCTGTGGCTATGGCATGTGGTAAACTAGAAACCGGGTTTTTGGCTATTTCTACTTAAATATTCGATCACTTCTAAATACAACAGTTATTAGATTTGTATTTAGTTGAATTAGACTAAAGGGAGCTGTACAATAAAACTAAATTAAAGATATAAAGCATTATGCACTACCTGGTCAGTGGTCTGTCATACGAAATCTACAAAAAAGACTTTACGTTTGTATTTGCAACATAAAAAATGCACCTATGTCGAGGCTCCCAACAGGCCCAATAAGTATTTAACAGCAGGCTTTTAGTTACTCGGGTTTTTAATCTCATCAGTGAATACTATTAAAATCAGCTCAATATGCACCTTATAGATGTTAAGGACCACAGATTCTAATGTTTATTTTTTTGTATCTACAAACAAGATTTCTTTCCTGACCTGGAAACTGGTTGCTCTTTTCCTTTTCACTTGAACTTTTCTCATTTTCTATCTTAAAAAATATATTTTTTTATAAATAACATGACAGAAAGTTTTCCCTTTCTAATTGTTTTTTTTTTCTTTTCAAACGTAAAAAGAAGAACAAAGTCATAAAAGTTACATTTTCTGTCTACTTATTTTGAATTGTGGGAACAAAAAAATATTTTAATGCCAAATTCAAAAGTAGTGATCGCTTATACACGCTGGTTGGGTGAAAGATTTTAAATGAGTGCCTGGCTCTATACTTCAAAAGGCTGTTTTTCTTAAGGCAGTGTGAATTTTCACAGATAAGTGTGTGTGTGAAAAGACTTCCTCTTATGACTAACATGCTCAAACTCTTTGGGTAAAGCTATTCATTTATGCGGCATTAAAGCATCGATTTAGCAGAGGCGTAGCCAGAAAATGTTTATAAGGGTGACCAGGCAATAAACAATGTACACTGAGGGGTGGCACCAGAACCTCAGGCTCAATCTACGCTGTTCCAACAGGAAAATTAACAAGGAACACATACATATTTTCTAAATAAAGACAATCTATACTTTACAGCCTTCGTAACAAATAGATGCATATATTTAAACATCCGTCTAGATAAAAGGTATTGTAGATAAAATCCTTCCAGGTTTGAGTTCTGGGGCGAACAGCTTTTCCATTGGCATTACGTACCTACTTTTATCAATAATCATTCTGCTTAAAATTGACATTTACAAGTACTAATATCTACATTAATTGATTATTAAATTAGTTTTTATTAAAGTAGTTATTTATCTCTGATCTCACTGAAGACTCCTTGATCACTTGCAGAGACACATAATTTCTTCTTTACCCGATAAAACACAAAGTTTAGTTCTGAAAAGAGCATTAATTCTGTATTTATCATCTTTAATGTTAGCATTCTCCTTGTTTTTGTTAAAGGAGAATGCAGTTTGTTTGTTTTTTACATTGGGCCCTTGATTTTACATTATTACATTATGTTCTACTCACCCATGTGAGTTTTGTGTCATTTGGAGCTGTTCTGAAGATATTCCATTGGGTTATGTCCAAGTAACGTCTTCTTATGGGCAACAACTTGAAGGCACAAACTAAACTGTTCATAATGTATTCTTTATGGTACGCCAGCATTCATTAGCCTGACGTAGTCCGACTCAATTCTAGTCAGAATATGAGTCTGATACTGCTCCATAGAGCTGTGATTATGGGGCGTGTTTCAAACGAACCAGGAAAAAAAAATGCCTCTGCACTCAATTGGATAGACCTACAACCAATAAGAGCAACGGAGTGCGTGACGTATGTTAAGCGAGGCATAGTTGTTGTCCACAAAAATCAAAGCGTGCAGTTGCACGCCGATAATAAGAAGATGAGACTTGATCGCGTTTCTCTGTTCCTCTTTTAAAATTAATTTGCTGTCGATATCTTCTAGAACAGACCTAATAGCAGAATCTACTCACCTTTCCAGCGGCAGCCATTATTGTTGTCACCCAAGCGCGCATTGGTCACGTGGTTGATTATGTTACTGTTGGTCATCTGTCCATCATCGTATAAAGCCCGCCCTGACAATTTGATTGGATTGCCTGACAGTGGGCGATAATACTCACGCTACTATGGAGCAGAGCCAGACCGAACTTCCCGACCTCAAACTTTGTGGGCGGGATTAAGTTCGGAATGGCACCCAGGCTAAGCGTTCATAACATGTAGGCGAATCACTATCCCCCAGACATCCACGGTTATATTTTTTATATTTATATATTTTTTAAGTATGACGTCATCCGCGCGCACCGGCTACTATTTATTCATCCTGTCCGCTAAACTGCTGCTAGTTTTACTCACATGCCTGGAAGATGTCTAGTGCTACTACCACAGATGATCTCGCTCTCGAAATGGAATTTAATGATTCAGATTAGCTAGCCGAATGAATAGAAGGGGTAGAGCGTAGCCGTCTGTGGCCCGGGCTGCTGGTCACAACTCCAGTCTGGTGCACGGATGCGCCATACACACTTAACTTTGTTTTTTTTTAAATATAAATATAAAAAATATAACCGCGGATGTCTGGTGGACAGTGATTTGCCTACATGTTATGAATGCTGGCGTACCATAAAGAATACATTATGAGTCGTTGCCAATAGGAAGACGTTAGTTGGATATAACCTAAACCAACATCTTCAGAACGGCTCCAAATGACACAAAACTCATATGGGTGAGTTGAACATGATGTAATAACGTAAAATCAAGGGCCCAATGTAAAAAAAAAAAAAAACAGCATTCCTCTTTAAGTAATTGTTAATATATGGAAAATTTAAATGTTTTGAATATTACACTTGAAAGCATTACTGCTTACACCATATGTATTAGAGGGGGGAAATGGTGGGGGTGGTCAATCCGACCCTGGCCCCCCATCTAGGTCCGCCCCTGCGAGTTAGGTCAATCAAAGGAAGAAACTGGCTCTCTGCTAATTTAGCAAATTTATGTTTAAGGTGAACATTTTATTTTTACTGTCAGTTTTATAAGCAGAGCTGCAGAGACACTCACGAGTATGGAGAACAGGATGCCTACAGCAAAGCATATGACAAACCATTTCACCCTGGTGCTGAAGCTGAGAGAGCTGCCATCAAGGACCTGGTGAGAACAATGAGAGGATATCACACGACAAGTCTAATGACCTACACTGAGACCCACTGGCTTCCACCGGACATTCAACTATGGTGGCTGGAGCCAAGCATTTTTAATGTTACAGGCCAACTTCTACATTAAAACGTCAAAACAAAAGCAGCGTTTTGATCAAAGTGAAACCAAGCAGAACCTTACCTTATATCCTCCTAAATGTGAAAGCGTGCAAGAATATAAGCAAAACAGTTACAGTTAAAAGCTAGCAATGACATAGAACCTCATTTAAGGCATGACTTATTAGAAAAAAAAGTTAGCTAATTCTGCTAAAGGCTAAGGTAAAAGTTAGCTGTCAGTTTAGAAAAATCCGCATCGAACAAGAAAACAAATATTGAAAAGTAGTAACATTTAGCATTACTGATAAGACATATTTAAATGCGGTTGCCTGAGACAGTAACTTATAATAACAAGTTTTTTTGGACACAGTTAGCATTAGCAGCTGTCAAACACTAAGCTAACCTGTGCAGTTAACCCGAGTTCTTCATTGTCTTCCCGGCCGCTCAGAACACGTCGCAGTTTATCCATCGTCAAAAACTCAAACACGTAAAGGTTTAAGAAGAAATAATGACACCAAAACAGTCCAGACTAAAGAGTGTCCGTTGGTGTTCAATGACTACTATCGCTGACATTAGTTGCTCCACACTTCCTGGCTTCAGGACGTCTTCACTGCGACTGGCTGACCTGGAATCAGTTTACAGTTAGACCATGAGTGGCGTATTTCCTGAAAGAGGCGTTTTAACTGACCGAAGATCAGACCCTTAAAACAACTATGACGCCTCCTCTGGACGGTTACAGCTGCCTCTTTATTGGGCATAACGGTGTTACGAAAGTTTATGAAAGTGACCCAAACTGACTATGCCTATATATTTTAACTACATTTAACTAGATTTTAGTTGTGTGTGGCGTGAGCCAGTCTATTGTAAAAAAATAAATAAAATAAAAATAAAAATCTAACAAATAGGAAAATACGACAGAAAATGCAAAAACTAAAATAAAAACGTGACATTTCACAATATTATCTAGTGAAGTTGACTGCTCTGGCCACTTCATTAGCGGTGTCTTTTTTCTGTCCCATTGTCGCCACCTAGTGGAAGCATCAGCAGCGGGCCGTTCACTCAGGATTGGCAAGCAAATAGTGTATAAATTCGCACAGACTTTTCAGTACAAACGAGATACCAATGTATCGTTTAATACTTCAACATCATACCTTAAAATTAAATCGTTTATTTAATTTTTTTCTGGTTAAGTCTTATATTATTAAATGTTTCTAACAATTACTTAGCAATATATCATTTATTTTGCGCACCTGTTCATACTAAATGAAAATCAGGAACTATAAGCAATATCCTGCTGCTGGTAGTAATTATCTATTTTGAGTCTCATAGCCAGCAGATTTAAGGGATGTGTTTTATAGTAGTTATCCTATTCCACTGTAATATTTGCAAAAACATCTTTTGTTTCAAGGATGAATAAAATTTATAACAAAAGACATTTATTGTGGGAAACTTTTAAGGTCATACTGCTCCTCTAAGGGACACTGGCTCTTTGTGAATATACCAGAGGGAAGACATTTTGACAGCAACAATAAAAAAGTAGCTTTAGAGGTAAGGTACAATTTCCCCAAACTGTACAAAGTGTTCTTTATGTAATCTAAACAGTGTTACATATTCTTCCTCAGAAAAACAGGCCAACATTAGCAATTCAGTGCAAACTTTAATGAAATATTAATTCTTATTTCATAATAATATTGGGGGCCATTGTTAAAATAAGAGTGATAATCGCTGTGGTTGTAGTTCAGGTAGCTCTGATCCCCCTCTGCGCTCTTATACAGCTCCAGCTGTTTCTCCCTGCGCGCAGTGGGCTCACTTGGCGCAGTTGGTGCAGTGAGCGCAGTGGGCTCAGTGAGCAGAGCGCCTTCTCAGGGTTCGGACGTTTCACAGACACCGGCAGTGATGTGGGTGCCGCTCCCCGTTTATCTACTCCTGTTGGGCCCGTTCTTTTATGGCTGCTCATGTTTCCTGTGCCCGAGGATCTGCCGATGCTCCACCCAGACAATCAGATGTATGGATCCAGCAGATGCAGAGAAGGATCAATGGAACAAAAGACTGTAAGTATAAGGGTTATTGATTGGTTACAACATTCTAAAACCCGCGCTACTCGTGCATGTCATGAAATGTTACTATGGATGTGATGTTAAGTAGCTCTTTGATTATATAAAGTAATTTTTCAGACAAATCGCGCGTAATTACGCACAATGAAATGTTCGAGTTTGAACCAAACTTGCTTTGTTGCATAAAAATGAAATTAGTTGTTGGACTGTTATATTTAGAAGTGCATTCTTTAAAAATCTTACTAATAAGATTTGAGAAATATTCTTTTTAATAAACATTTAATTTGCATCAGGCTCCTTCTTCAGACTAAATATTATCTATTGTTTTACGATTTTGCATTATACAGACTGTCATGGACCAATGCAATGTGCAGCTTTTGACAGCCGTCTAAACTTTGTTCCAGAAAACTTTATAGCAATCATCTCTTCCACTCATTGTTTATCATCATAAAAGAACAGCTTAATAAAAACATATGCACAGACCTTCAGGGTCACCCCATGCAACAAATAGATCCTCAGCGTGACTTCAACTACTTCTTCAATTACTTCTGAAGAACATGTCAAGTTGGCTTCACAAGGTCAGGTACAGACAGGATCCTCTCCTCTTATGCTTCCGAGGCCTCCGAGTTCACCCCCAGAGACTGTGACGAAACACGAAGATGTGGAATCTTGACCTCTAGTTTTTTTTTAAACCACTGGACCTTGACTTTGCACTGATAAGTGTGAACAGCAAGGATGGCACCTTCATGATTGGATCGGATGCTGGCTACAGAAACGTTATACTTGGGGAAACTATTTGCTGTCGGAGGAAAATGATGAGACAAAAAAAAAAAAACAGATTGAAACAAATGAAAATAATGACATAGAAACTCAACCATAAAATACATCCCTCCTATTTTTTTTAATTAAAAATCCCTTATAAATCTCCATTTTGGTGGCCTTTTTTTCTTTAATTCTTTATTTTGCCTTTAACAGGTCTATAATAAAACTTTATCAACATCTATTAACCCCTCCTTCCCATAATAGTTTAGGAACTCTAAATGAGCTGTTTTCAAAGCACTGATATGGTGATGTAATTATCGCCTATAAGATATTAAGGTTTTTTTCAAAGAGGCGTTTTATCTTGATTTCCCAATTCTTAATCCATGATTTACATTTAGTTGAGTGCTACATAGTCATGGTGAAAAGTAATTTTCTGATTTTGGTTTGTTGAAACAGATCTCAGTTGAAGCACTCTGCCTCTTGGGTTTTGAGTTTTAGTCCCCTGGTTTTCTGTTGAACTGGGGAAGTTTTCATGCCACTGGGGACAAGACAGTTAAACACCTTGATTCTACTCTCACCATGCCTAATAGAAAGTAGAACATTTGGGGGTTTTAATGCCAAGCCTTCATTTGATCAAACATTTTTTTGTCATAATAGCCTAATTCAAACTTCAAAAAATTATTTTATTGCCCTCAAAGTGAAATTAAATGTTGTAGTAAGGCATATGTTTTTTTCTTTAAAAAAAAAAATAAATATTTTGTATATGCTGGAAGCTGTAGGCGGGAAGGATCTTATGTAGTGGTCTGTCTTGCAGTGAATTCAGAGAAGCTTTCAACTGAAGACACTCTGTTGGTGTTCATTCTTTTAAAGAGGATGCTCATGGTTGTCTAATGTTCTTCATTTTCTACAGTTTTCTTCCAAGTAAAATCAATGTAGAGGAGTTCCAGCTTACCTCACCTTCTTTATAAGCTTGTTGAGCTTCTGTAAGTCATTTACTCTGATGTTACCAGATCAGCTGATGGCAGAGAAGATCAAACTCCCCAAAACGGATTTATAGAATATATGCAGGATCTTGCTGCAGATACTGAATGATCTAAGCCTGCTTAGGAAGTACAGTCTACTGTTGCCCTTTTTGTAGATAACTTTACAGTTCCAACTCAATATGAGGCTTCTTTAAAATTCTGTCTGCTAATATGGTGAGATATTAAAGGAGAGACATTGGAGTCAGGGATATGATCCTGCAGACATGTTTACTGTAGGTAAAACACATAACAGTACATTCCTAATATTCTGTCTGGGTCATTGCTAAAGCTTGGATTACTAATAATGATTGATGAAGGCTTGTATTTCCTTCTCCTTTCTCTTATCCTTGCTCCTGCTCTTCTCTGTATCCTTGGTGCTTCCTTTTCAACTCAGCCAGGACTTGCAGATGTTTAAGTATTATTTCAACTATTGAGATTTTAATGAGCTTAAAAAACAACTTCCTGTGGTTATGTATAATAACAAATGTCCAAAAAAGAAAAGATATGGAAAAATCATATCACATGCACAACATCCAACAGCAGAGGTAAAAAAGAAAAGAAAAGAAAAAGAAAATGTGATTCAAAAATTTAATATCTGAAAAAGAATGTTAGAATCATGCTAGCAGTGCTACACCGACATGCAGCCACCTTGCCATCATAACCTAATGCTCGACTTTTGTCACTTTTAGGTTTCTTTATCACCTTTCTTTTAAAACTATATCGAGCCATTCTTTTGAGGATTTGAGAGGAGTTCGGAGGATGTAAGTATTGCAACCCGTTTTGTGTTCTACTATTAGAGATCATGTTTAGCTGATACTGAAAAACAATGGGTACACCGAGCTAGTCATCTAAACTATTCTGTGTTTTTAATTGTTGCAGTGAGATTGCCCAAAGTGTAACCCTGGAAAGCATCAAGGAACTAGCATTTAGCAACCTTCTAAACCTCTCTGAGATGTAAGTCATGCTCGTAAGAATTTTTTTTCCCTGATCACTGTAGACACTTAACTGTTGAACTGCTCTCTTTTCTCCCCAACTAAACAGTTCAATCCAGAATGCCAGGAGTCTCAGACACATCGACAGAAGAGCCTTTAACAATCTTCCAAATCTTCACTATTTGTGAGGCATCTTTTCAAATGCATAGCACTTTCAGGTTTAAAGTTAAGCCTTAATTAATGTATTGTTAAGTTCTACTTTGCAGAAGCAATCATCCATTTGACTTTAAGCTATTTGTTTAATAGACCAGCAGGATTGAGAAGTTAAAGCAAACTAAATAAACTGAATATTGAGTTGACATGAGAAGAAGAAGAAAAAAAGTCACATTCTGTGCAAAATTTGCTCTGATAAAAGAGTGGGAGCAAAGCCATCAATGTAATAGCTCCACACTAAGTCTCCACTGCTGTTTTCTCCAAACAATATATATGGACATAACCCACACTTAATGGAAGAGGGCACTCAACTCTTACTAGACCAAACCTGAACTTTATAGGCAGCATGATGTTTCAAAAAACAAACACTTCACATCATACCCATCAAAGCCCTATGATGAACCATGGTGGTGGCAGCATCATGCTGTTGTGATGCATGTCTTCAGAAGGGTTAGAAAATTTCTTCTATGATTACACAGAGTAATCTTGGAAGGGGAAAATTTATTGACATGGCTTCCATTATGTCCTGATTCCTTATCTAGATTCAGTGTCATTTGGAAGCGTATACACCACACTTTTCAGATTATTCAGAATATAGAGAAAATTATCATTTTCTTCTCCCCCCCAAATGACATGCTACTTTGTGCAGATTTTTCAAACAATTCCAATTGGACTTTTTAGTAATCTAATAAGAGTTTTAAAAATTCTCAATCTCTGGGTTTATATAGTTTTGCAAGATGAGCTACAGCATCAGACACAAAAAGCAGACGGGGTTACAAGAAAGCATTTTCTGATTGTTTTGCTTCACATCTAAGTCTGCAATTATTATGGACATCTAATTTTCTTTATTACTGCAGGAGCATCTCAAACACTGGAATAACAGTCTTCCCAGACGTTACATCAATCGGTTCTCTCAAATCAGACTTCATTCTGTAAGTCCCCCAAAAATTCACAAGAGGGATTCATTTATCCCCAACCACATTTCTCAGTGGTACAGTTCGACAGATTTTTGCAGTCTGAACGGTTATTATGTTGCAGGGAAATATGTGACAACCTTCATCTACTGGAATTGCCTCCAAATTCTTTTCTTGGAATGACTGAGGGATATGTTGCATTGTAAGTCTGCCTCTCCATCCTTCCTTTTGTCAGCTTTTTAGATTTGCTTAATTGAAACAATCCTTTTCAAAGCCAAACTTTAAACGCAGGAACCTCTACAACAATGGTATCAGAGGGATACACAACCACGCCTTCAATGGGACAAAGATAGATAAGCTGTATCTTGCAGACTTCTACTGAATAATCTTTTTTAAATCCATACTAGTCAAAGGGAAAATATGCTTACTGGTCTCACTTTTTTCATTTCTAGGTTATTAAAGAATAATCGTCACCTTAAAGTGATCCACAGTGATGCTTTCCAAGGAGCCACTGGTCCTGGAGTCTTGTAAGTTTTATTATGTTTAATTGTTTTTTATTTTTTTTATTATGTTGACACAAACAAGCCAATATTTTTAGGTCAAATGCTTGTCTTCATTCTGTGCCATGGCCCGCTTATTAAGTACTTGCAGCAGAGGCTGGTTGACTGCTGCTGTTAAATTTTTACTAGGCCATTCACCTGTGCAAAGGTCCAAAAATATAAGGCTTCTCATGTGATGATGTCCTCTGTTATTTCACAGGGATGTTTCTGCAACAGCTCTTACAAAGTTACCTGCTCACGGACTGGATGCTGTTCTGGTGCTGTCTGCTCAGTCAGCATATGGTTTGAAAAGCTTGCCTCCCCTGAAGGGTCTGAGCAGCCTTCGAGAGGCCCATCTCACCTATAATAGCCACTGTTGTGCCCTTCTGAGCTGGAGCACTCACAGGTGATTTGCTCTTTAAAGTGTACAATAAAGAAAAGGATGCAGTATCTTGGAGTTGATTTTGCCCCATCACCCTGTCAGTTTAGCACAGGAGTAGGCCTGTTTCTTTGACAAACCATTTGACCTACAGGCATAAAACAAATGTTTAATTTCTATAATGTTTCTCTACAAGCTGGCAGCATGTATAGAAAACTAGAAACTCACAAATGATGCTCAGCCATTTCTAACACTTTTTCAGTTATAATTCCTGCCCTGAAATGTACCATACATTCAAAATGAATACTAAAATTGAATTTTTTAAAGGTATAAAAAAGACATCTAAATTAAATTTCTAGTTAATCCACGAAGAACTATTGCATGGAAAAAATCCCAAGAATTCAAGAATGAGCTTTTAGAAGATTTTGTGTAAAATCAATAATAACCGACCCTGCAGGGTTGGTAAAAAAAATAAGAAAAATAAATAATATCAAATAGGCTTTTTATAATTTTTCACATTTTGAAATTAAGTGGATTCCCCATAGATTTCTTAATGAGACAGAAGTATTCAAATGTAAATCTCTCTCCCTCTCTCTACATATATATCTATATATTTCTTTTTTTTCCAAGGGACTCTTCAGCTAACCATCCATGGGATAACATATCTACATCATGCAAAAAGGGGAATCCATCAGCAAGGTGACATATTTGTTTATGAATCATCCTCCAAAAGATATGTACTTTAAAAAGTCTTTCAATGTTAACTTTTCACTGCGCTGACGATTTATGTTCTCTTTGTACCCGAATTTTGACAGTTTGTGAGTTCCTATTTAAAAAGTTTTAAAAAATCACCCTCTTTAGTCTGGAATTCTACCAGGAAAGTCAGATCTCTCTCCCAGGTTTAGAATTCAACATAGAAATTCATATTTCACAGTGAAAGTTGCAGGTATGATCTCATTATAAGCAGTTTGTTTAGATTATATCGTACGTATGTATGCTGTGGGCAAGAAAACGACTTCTAATCTTCTCTTATGAAAACCTCAGCTTAAATAATCCAAACAATCCCTTAAAAAGAAAAATCTTCAGTCAACATAGTTTAGTTTATCAGTAGATCAACATAAATCTTTTTCCCTCCATCTTTTTTGTCTCTTTAAATCAGATGCCAGGTTGCTCTCAGAGGCACAGATGGAACACCTTCACTGGGGAGCTTGTCTTATTTTTCTGAAGCTGACCAGGATGACACCTTCCAAGATCTGGACTTCCACTATCTGGAGCTGGGCTTCTATCGCTCACACCCAATAATCTGCACGCCGGAGGAAGATGCTTTCAATCCCTGTGAGGATCTCTCCGGTTTTAGTTTCCTCAGAGTTGCTATTTGGTTCATCAACATCCTCGCTATCACAGGAAACCTGATGGTGCTTCTGGTTTTCTTTACCAGCCGGACCAAGCTGACCGTCCCTCGCTTCCTCATGTGCCACCTGGCTTTTGCTGACCTCTGCATTGGCGTTTACCTTCTTATAATAGCTACAGTAGACCTGAGGACTCGTGGTCACTACAGCCAGAATGCCATTGAGTGGCAAACCGGGCCGGGCTGTAGTGCTGCAGGATTCTTGTCTGTGTTTGGTGGTGAGCTGTCAGTCTACACGCTTTCCACCATCACCTTGGAGCGGTGGCACACCATCACCAATGCTCTACATGTAGAGCGTCATCTTGTCCTGACGCAGGCTGCAGGTATAATGGCAGCTGGTTGGTTACTCTGTCTAGGTATGGGGATGCTGCCACTGGTTGGTGTTAGCAGCTACACTAAAGTCAGCATGTGCTTACCCATGGACATAGAGACTCCTCTAGCTCAGGCCTTCATCATCATCATTCTACTCCTCAATGTGGGGGCCTTCATTATTGTGTGTGTCTGTTATGTGCTTATTTACCTGGCTGTGAAGAACCCAGAGTTCCCGGAAAGAAGCGCAGACACCAGGATAGCAAAACGCATGGCTGTCCTCATCTTCACCGACTTCCTCTGCATGGCGCCCATCTCCTTTTTCGCTATTTCTGCCGCCTTTAAGGTTCCTCTCATCACAGTCACAAACTCCAAGATTCTGTTGGTCCTCTTCTTCCCCATCAATTCCTGCGCCAACCCCTTCCTCTATGCTATTTTTACCAAGGCCTTCAGAAAAGATGCCTATCAACTCATGAACGTCATTGGATGCCATAAAAGCAAGGCCGACGTTTATCGTTGGCATTGCTGCTCAGAAAATGCAATAAAAAGCAACCTGAGATCCAATAATAAAGGATCCCAGATTGGAGTAAACCTAGCTCCCAAATCACATCAGGAACTTCAACCTAAAGATGAGCAGGAGATAACCTGAAAACTGAAAGAAACAGAAAATCTGGACATAAGGGACATTAGGGGGGTATTTTACTTTTAATGGGAGTCGTTATTTATAGTCACATATTTATATGACTGTGGTCTCGCTGCACTGAAGATTGACTATTATCTTTTGCAAAAAAGTAAAAAAAAAAAAAAAGTTCTAATAAGCAGTTTCTGATTACAGTTTACTATTAAAACTATAAATGTGCTTATTTGACACATGATGCACCCTTTCATGTTCAGATCAAGAAAAAATACTGGTTCACTTTAAAAAAAAATATGACCAGTGTCTTGGAAAGGTATTCATACCCTTCACTCTTACGCAATATTATAATGTTTCAACGTATTTAATAGACCAACCATGGTTCTGCAAATAGAAGTTTGAAGAGTACTGCATTCATTTGTATTCAGCCTCCTTTGTTTTGATACCTCTACACATCCAGTACAACCAACTTCCTTCAGAAGTCGGCTGAAATACAGCAATTAACTTAGTTCTCAGAGTAAAGAAAGCTGTTAGAGACGTGCTCAGCTGTTTATTAGAGAGAATTAGACAGATATGTGGAGCATTAATCGAAGCAGAGCCAAGACACCTGTGGAAACCTTTAGGTAGCTACAAAAATCTGCTTAGGAAGGAAAACTGTAATCTGGTATTTATGGAAAAGTAGAAAGACATTGCTGAAGGAAACAAGAAGATGTCCTAGTAATAGTTTTTCAGATGTGGAAAGAAGATGTTTTGGTCACATGAGGCCAAAACTGGTCTCTGTGAGAAACATGATAGTGGCATCATCAAGCAAAGGGAAGCTTTACTTAGTAGGGACAGGGAAGCTAGTCAGACTTGTAGAAAGGTGGATGATGCTAAATACAGGGGGCTCACAGGAGAAAATTTGTTATAGGCCAACATGGGAGGAGGTTCACTGATAATGCAATGTAAAAATTGGGCCATTTTATTTATACCCATGTAATAGAAGGGGCACATTTAATAGTCCAGTCCCTAATCTTACTGAAAACCAGCGATAAGCCCTGAAAAGTAGTGTTTGTAGTCCGTAAGCCATATTTACATATGAAGAATTTCCAAAGGTTTGCTGCTCCAGTTGCATCAAAAGATGTTTTTTCAAATGATTGACTCAGGAGGCATAAATTCAAATGTATCATAATTATAATACAGTTCTTCATTGTAACGGGATGATATGTAAAAAATAAAGTAAACATGCATTCATTTTAATGCATTCATTTAAAATGTCCTTTAAAGGAAACCCGTTTCAACACTGTGGACTCGTACAGAGAGAAATAGTCACAGTTACCAAGGTATGGATTATGTTGACTTTTGTCAAGAATGAAGGGGACATTTTTTATGTACAAAAAAAAAAAATAAAATAGAAATGTGTATTTAAGTGTTTTGAAGAGTAAAATTTAAATGTGCAAATCTGGGGAATAAAAAACACCGAAACCAACCCTATTTACAGTATGCTATGTTATTCTATTATAATTTACTGAGCAACCTTGTAAATTGTAAATACTGTAGATTGTATACAATGTAGTCCTTATCTTAATTTGCTTTTATACTTTTTTTTTTTAACTTTTATATCTTATTTTACACTGTTTCTATGGGAAGGGTGTGATTTTTTACTGTGTGGGTTGTAATTTTACTAATTTAACTTATTTTATTCTGTCTTATTATTCTATATTTTATTTTGCTCCATTGTACTTATAATCTTATTTTTCTCTTCTGTAAACGTCTGCACTGCAAAAAAAATAATTTCTTGCAAGGGATGAATAAAATAATTCTTATTCTGATTATCAGCTTTAAAAAATATATATTTTTATCTGAATGACCACAAGGTGGAGCAGTTAAGCTCAGACTCTTATTGACTTATAAACTATAAGAACGTGATTCTGTTAAAATTCTGTTAAAATAATTAAGTTCTGAGGAAATAAAGTGATTCCTTTTAGTCTGTGTATCACCATTGTGTTTATTTTTTTATTTTTATTTATTTCTGCTTTCTTTTTTTGCTCTCTCTCAGTCCCGCCTTTATGGGACCCATCTGTTGTGACGTTTGAGAAACACTAAACTTTTCTCTCCAAGCATGCAGCCCCTCAGTCAACAACCTCACTGAAAAAGCGTTGAACCCGCTACTGTGGCTGATGCTGCGTTCATTCTGAGCTGAACCGTCCGGAACACAGTAGCCTTAAAAACTTTACCTGTTACCGCTGTGGGACCAAAGGGCAGCTACTTGGTGGGATCAGATTATTGATGGAAAATATGTTAAACTCTGGCTGTTTTGGAGCTGCTGCGCTGCTGATCACAGCCTGTTTGCTGGGGACTTCTCTCAGCGGTAAGTTGTTTGTTTTCCTTTGGGGGAGTACGGCTTTTACTGAGCGGATCCATGGACCCTGAAGTAGCAGTAGGAGTAATCTACTGGTGTATTTCTGAGCCTAAAGCTGCAGGGGATTGCAGCTCAGTGGCATTTTAATTAAAATGTAAGGTGTTTATTTAAAAAAAAA